CGCAAAATATAAAGGGTTATCACTCAAATGTTTTGTTGGAGTAATAAAATTCAACAAATACTCGTGTGGACTCTGTGAATAGATTGAACAACGAAAAAAATTTTCACGAATTTGCACGAGGGAAAAACGAAACCGATTTCGAACGTACCGCGCGTTACACTCTTTAGTCCAGACCGCTTTTTTGTTTGTGCTTGTGGATTCCAGATTTCGGCAAATAAGTATCAGTTTATCTTGGAGTATTCCGAATATAATGAAAGATTTGTACCGATCCTCCCTACTTGGACGTGGGGACCTTGTTTCTTTGTGGAGTGTACCTCATCCCCGTAATGGGAGCAGCCAACGTGTATAAACGGGCCGGGAAACTTGGATAATCTGTTTATGTGGTCGTCATGCAACCCAGTACATTTAAAATACCAAAAGTTTGGTAGGCAAGAATCGCATTCCACGCCTTACGTTTATTAGTCATCCACATTGTCCACATCTGTTTTGCTTCACCGATAGTCTCGGAGAAGAGCAGCCTGTAGTGATCTGACCCATAAGTGAAAGTGAGTGCACCGCAGAAATGAAGTCCAATCTGACAGAGGTTTTCACGCCCAGGTCATGCTGGTGTGAAAAACTCGACAAGAAACACGTTCTAAATCCGTAAGTGGATTAATCAGCGAATGAATTCGTCTGAAATTTGAACGATAAAAAGAACAAACAAACCACCTTCCGAGCTTTCAGAATTGTGTTGGAGAAAGTGGTCATCCTCTATCTACATACGTAATAGGCCACACAAAGGACGGCCGAAATACTTCTTATGGTTCATCAGGCAGGCGCAGTCCATGAGTTTCTATTATTCTCAGGCTCCACTCGAAACCAAATCGTTATAAGTTAGAGAACTACGCTCATTTGCGAACAAATTTGGTTTCGCGGGAGACTAACCTGGAACCCACTGAAGCTATCGTTTATGATGTATTCACTGCGGCAGATAATATAACCCGGATGGAAGAACTAAGGGGCCGCACCGGCACCAGCCATTCGCCGTTAAAACTATTTCATCACTGCCGCAACCCAACGTAAAAGGGATGCCGTCTAACTTGATCAACAAAAAATCCATGGAGCCTTTCAGAAATCCTGTCGCGCGCATGAGGTGATTCTGTCCAAAATGAGCAATCTAACTGCGTTCGATTAGTCGTCATCCAAGTGCCGACGTGGATCATTAGAAAACGACTGCTTCACTGGGTGCGTAGGGCGCCCTCTAAACCAATCAGCCATGCGGGTGCCAATCAATGTTTGAGTCCCTGGGCCGTTATCACCCGTTTGCAGTTTGTGCCCCCGCTGTCCCCCCTTTGGCTGGAGGGTGCAATGCCTCTTCCATCCGATGTCGAGCTGCTGACCCGTGTAGAAAGTCTGTTTTTGCAATGTTACGGCAGATTATTATTAGGTATACTTCGGAATGCGGACCTAGAAAAGACTACCTCAAGGAAAGTGAGGAACGAGCTTGAGGAATACTTTGGTGTTGACCTCAGTTCGCACAAACAGAAGATAGAAAAGATGATACTCAACACAATGAGCAAGCAAGCACGCCACAGCACTTCTGGGCAAAATAATGATTCGCCGGGACAATCAGAAGAAGACTCGGTACGTGACATCAGCATGGCCCCGGTCATTCTAGAGGTCTTCCTGAATACATTTTTAGGATGCAGAGTCCTCTGAGTCAGCGAGTAGCTCTGTGGGGTCTTCACCTAAACCAAAAAAACGGAGGCAACCCGCAGATGAAGATATGGCGAGAGCTGTGCATGCTTCCGCCAACGGGATGCGGAAAAGACCCAGCTCTGGTAAGTTAGCTGAACGTGGTCCATTTTGCCTAGGAAAGTCAAAAGTTGAGAGGCGCTCATCTGGCAGCGGAAAGTCTGGTTTCACCCGCCCTCTTGGATTATCGGATGAGATGTCGGCTTACGTGGGACAGAAGCAAATGTCACGCGCGGAGCTCGTGAAACGGTTTTGGTCTTTAGCCAAAGAAAATAATCTCTTTGTAAGTTTGTTTTTATACTGAACTCACGTTAAAGGATCCCGACAATAAACAATACGTGATCTGTAATGAGGATTGGCAGCGTCTATTTGGTCAGAAGCGGTTCCGGATGTTTGGGATTGCTAAGCATCTGAAACGTCATATTTTGGAATGAGTGTTTATGCTACAAATAATAAAAGCAACCCCATAACGACCTGTGTTCTTGAAGAAAACTTGAAAAGTATCATCCGCAAGCGTTTCCGTTACTTTCGTTGAGGGGATCACCAAGCCAATCGGCCTTACTGTCATCTGTATACTAAGCCGAAAACCGCTTGTTTCTATATTTCCCAACAGGTTTCAAGTAGGGCGCTGCAAGTGGTCTAGCTAAATGACTGACCAGAGCTATTGCCACGGAATTTTTACGAAGGAACTATCTAGGTGAAGCATTGATCAATATAGTCTTGAGCGTCAATCATTTCCGAACTTCCGTATCTCTATAATGGATAACTCAGAGTCGTATGTGTCATCTTAACGGCCAGTCCAATCCATTGAGTCAGACGCCACAAGAAAATAGTTCTGGAGTTTAGAACTTCAGAGCTGCCTTATGTAAATTGTTAGCTTATGGTTCGTGCGGGATTGATGCTGGAATTCAAAGTGTATTTTGCGTGGCTGCCAATCGTTTGGATTGGGTTGGTTTTATTCATTCGAACAACGAATTTGTCGTATGTTGCCCTACGTCGTAGTTTTGCCTCGTGCGTATAATGCACCAGGAGGTTTGTGTTCCATTGATGGGGCGTTGACAGTCACTCCCAAGAGTAGATGATCCTATTTTTGCTTAGTGTATGTGGGTTTCAGTCGTGACAGAAATCAATGCTCCATCAGAGCCAGTTCGTTCTATTCAGACACCGCGCGTTAATTTAGCCTTGGGAGCATTGGTTCATTGCCCACAATTGTACTGTGATAGCGAAACTGTCCCTCTGTATGAATCCAACTGACAAGCCTCAGCAGCCTTATGGGTGATGTGTTTCTCCAAGAAATTTCATACTAATTAAAACATGGGTGATCTATGTGCATCATATGCATTTAAAATGTATCACAAACTAGAGATCCAACTGGGATCTTGCTGTGTCTTGCTGACCGAAAGGGCGTACTTTTGCTGAAACATAGACCCGCGTAGTGGAGTCCACTAAAAAGCCCTCAGAGCTGCTTTTCCACTTGCCTTAGATATTAATTATGGGGTAGGCGGCAAACGTAAAAGGATCTTATCTGCCTTTTAGTACGGTGGTTAGGTGGTTGAGTACTAGTTCTGTCTCCTGGTACTGCGTCATGTGCGCTTGGAGTTGGGGCGAATTTCACCGTCAGGATGCTGCTGAGTACAACCTTAGCTGAAGTTGGCTTGGAATGTATTCATCAACATTCATCTTTGACAGCAATATACCATTAGTATGTATTACTGCTCAACTGTCAAACAGACAAGAGAGAAGCAGGTTTTACCAAAAGTGTAAAGGCGATCAAAGGGTATGGTTTTGTTGTGAGGAGGCCTTATGCACTTATAAAAACCACCAACACCAAGGTACCTACACCTTTGGGCAGCATTATTCCAAACACACCTTTGCATAATGTTGAAGTGAGGCGCCATTAGTGGAATGGATCCAACTTGCTTCGCGAACCTTACTCAGTATTAGGCCAACACACAGCGATAGGCGAAATCTAGTTGGACAATCTGGGTTAGAAATAATAACATGCGCTCCTCCTGGGTCGGTTGTTTGCCATGTCTCGCAGGGTTTTCAACCAAGTGCGAGCAGGATCACGTGAGCCCCAGCCATGAAGGCGCGAAGCACTCAATTTAATTGTAACTTCCCTCACTTCACGCTGCCATATCTCTGACTGCCCCTCCCGCCACGAACCTCAATCCACCAGTCGCTTGGAATAGATGGTAAATGGCGCTTGAGCACGTGTAATGCATGTCCCAGCCGTGTAAACCCCAGTGGCTTAATATGATGGATGCGCAGCCACAGGCAGATGGCTATTCCACCGACCAGCAGTCGGCTGGATGCATGAGTTGAGTGAAATCGAGTTGTTTGTCCAAGTCAGTAACAAGTACACACCTTGCCCAGTTTCTGGAACACACACCTGGCTTATTTAGTCAGTACACAATATTTTGTAGCGAATTTGACTGGCCCCCGAATACGTGACCAGAGATAGTATTTAGTTATCCACTGAATTTGCAGAAAATTATTGGAAAAGGTAACCAGAAAGGATTCTTGAAGAGCGCAAAAAACATATTAAAAGACCGAACATCACACGAGTTCATTTTCAGCACTTCAACTGAATACATACAGCACAAAAGAACCACATGACTTGGTGAAATATTATGACGGCTTATGGAGGCGTATTTGACTAGGAAATATCCATACTATTCAAATGGCATGTGAACTCTTTGGAGCATGCCAAAGGCACGTTTCACATGTGGGTTTGTCCAGTCTGAACCAATGGTATTGAGAAGCAGCTTTTATGCGCAGAATCCATCTCCATACAGCCTCAGCTGTAAATAATAGCCGCGTCTAGAGTACGAATTCTGTGAGAAGCGGTTAAATATATTTGAATGCATGCGCGAAAACAGATGGAAGTATGGATTACCGCTGAAGGTTTACAGAAGCTACTTCTGTCATGTATTTGGAGTTTACAATCAATCTTTAGTGGTGAATTATACCGCCAGGAAGCTTTTGCAGCAGTGGATTAGCCGCTTGGTCTATCGGTATCAGATAAGCTCATGAACAGGTCTGAAAACACCTCGCTATAGGAGTCCGTCCGGAGACTTGTCATGCAACAGGGATAAATGAACGATATTTACTACGCAACAAAATGCGGGTAGAACGGGAATACTGGTAGTCCCAGCCTTTTTTGTACGTTCTGGCCACTATCAGATAAGGCGGGTCACTGCAAAGAATCGCAGTCAATAGGGAAACATGATGCGGTTGGTGCAACCGTTTCGCTAGGTTTGTTCGAACGTAAACGTAAAATCTTTCGTTACTCAGTGGACACATCGCGGAAGATATACGTCTAAGATACTGTTCAAGGTTGACTCTCACTGCTCGCTTATCTCATAATGGTTCCGATCTAAAGCTACCACCTTGAAGTAGAGTCGGGCTTGAGTGCTGCAAGAATTCTACAGGCTGCGATGACTGGAACATCGTTCTACAAGAAGCAGCCATGCCATTAGGGCAAACGGGAGAAGTCAGACCAAGAACGATGAGAACCCTTACCACAAATAATCATAATACGAGACAGTCTGGATGTAAATTCATACTGTCCTCTGCGATAGAAGCGTAAAAGTGCTCCCCGAGGAGATCAGCATGTCCATATTCATGTAATCAACAATGATTCCCCCGAAGGACCGGTTAGAAAGGTCGGCCTTAAAAACCGCCCACTCCGATCTCCCAACGGTGACCACCGGCGCACAATTCAGTGCCAAATTCCTAATACTTTTAAAAAACCAAACAGCCTGGTGCTGCTCAGAAGGTATTTACTGTACGCATCCGTACCAGCAGTCAGACACTAATGTCTACGGTCAATCCAGCACGTTGCAGCTGAGTCATCGGTGGGTCGCAGAAGCCCCACTACTACTTCGAGGGTCAAAGGCTCAAGTTGGGGTACATCAACCAAACCTTCCTCGGCCTGACTAATCGGGAAGCAGTATTTGCGTCATCTTACGGACCGAAAGGTTCGTGGTTCGAACCCAACCTCAGGATCTCGACTGCTCCTGTCTAGCTTTGGTCAACTTCGCATTATCCCAGCCCTCGTATCCTCCGTTTGCATGACAGTCAAGCTCCGAGAGGCTGATAAAACAACTATTTTTCCTGCTTTTCACAGAGACAACGTAAAGCGACTCTTCTAGTTGTATGCTGCTCACCAACTGCCTTTTGGGTAGAACGGAATTTCAGTATAAACGCCAACATCGGGTAACCTGGCGGCCACCAAATGCAAATCAACTGCAAACCTAGTTGGGTCGCGTGGCCACCAACCACCGATAAACAATCACAATTCAAGACTGTCGTTCCTTCTGGAGCACATAAGAAAAAAATCATTCAGCTGTGGCCTAACTGCCATACCACCCAAAGGGAACACGAGGACTGCGGTTTTGCCAGGTTGTCCAAGCATAAACTAAAGAAGTCGAGAGGCAGAGGTCGGGCTCGAACCATGAACCTTTTGCTCAGTGAATTCGCGCTCTAACCACTGAGCCATTTCGCCACATGACTTGGTTTTGCTCATACCATGGTGCGAGCACGCTTGACAGTTCACTTCCCTACTGGCACCCGCAAGTTGACAAGAAACACGCCAATCCACCATCTGCGAATAGGTGCTATATCTCAATAACATCGATCTGAACTAGTCAACTTTTTCTAGGGTAAACCAACAATGTGCTGGTAGCGAGTACGTGGATGAAGCAAGGCAAAATGTAAAATCAGCCGAGCTAGCGGCGTTCAGTGCTGTCTGCTCGGCCTCCCTGATTCGACCACAAGACCACTGGATATTGTCGAGATCGCTGTTTCAGAATGACGCCAGGAACTCCGTACCAACACCAACGAGCACGATTACCCATGCAAACACCTCGAACACCAAGTGGTGAAGAATCGAGAGCTTTGTTCGACATCAAAATCACGGGAGATGGAAAGAGACGTGCCATATAGCGATTGATGGTATCGACCGGTCAGACGAAAGAAAGTCAGTAAATCGATAATTGAAAATGCCAGCTCATTAATTCACTCGCCTCCTGCGAAACAGCCTATGGGAATAGTGCATGCGGGCGCGTGGAATCCCGTTACAAGAGAAGATAAAGTACGAAATATCCGAGGTGGAATGTGAGGAGGCATGAGGATCGGATTATGTGCATCCAGCCCTCTTCGAATAGGCCGCAACGCCTTGGTGCATCATCTGCAACAGTTCGATGGTGCGATGTAAAGTCCGGCGGAAGTGCCCTCATAATGGGGCACATCGACAGTCATTTCTGTTTTCAAAAGGAGGACGCGGACGCTGTTTGAAAACTACCGTGACGTTAGCCTGATGGCTGTGGCATCGAGGTGCCCAGATCAGAGGTGCTTTCTGATCGTATACTTCGTAGGTTCACTGAAAAGAGGTAATGAGAGAACCGTGAAAACCAAGTTGTGTGGGTCA